TAACAAAAGTGCTGTATATCATATATAAAAATATAAATATTTTATTTTTAAATTTTATATATTTTTTTCTATTTTCAAGAAAATATTAAATCTTATTTAAAAAGTCAGTAATAATTCTTTAACAATATTGATCTTAATATCTACTGCATGAAGAATCCATTAAATGTGTATAAGTATATAAACTTTAAATTTTATGTTATATTAGACTGGTTTTCTATGATAATTATGTTTAGATAACTTTTTTATCATATTCTTTCATTTTTCATACTCTAATTTAATTATTATTTAAACAATTTCTAATAACGTTTAGCAACAAATTATAGTTCATTGTCTTAAGAATGAAATTATTTTTGTTTAATATTGAGTATACAAATATTAAATAATACCTTCTAATGTCCTAAGTTAAAATATAACATTTGAATATTTTTACCAAAGGAAATAAGATCATTATGTTCATTTACACTATGACTCATAAGATATCATTCATTTAAATAATTTACAAAAGGTTCTGATTAAAAAATAGAACAAAAATAATATTAAATTCTTTATCAAGAATTTGGTTTTGTTTATAGAAAGACACTTAAAATTTTTATTTTTCATGGATATTGAAAAAAAGAATCTTAGTTCATGAAAAACAAGAGCCTGAAAATACAATAATTCTTAATATAAATTTGTTGGTACTATATTATATTTTTAGAATATAAATAAGATAAACACAAATTAATATAAAAAAACAATCTTTTATTGATCAGGGAGGATATAATTAAGAATAAAAAGACCAGTTGCTCCAAGAGCAAGACCCAAATCAAGGCCAAGATTACAGAAATTAGCTGTCATTTTCATATCCTTTATTTGCGAATGAGTGAAAGCTAATTGAATAGCATGAGAGGCAAAGTACCCATGGGTGGTTGAAAAGATTAGCATAATAAAGAACATTAAGAATGGGTTAGTATACACATCATAATAATAAATAAATAATGGAACATAAAATACACAACGTGCTATAGAACAAGCTAAGATAACCCATCTATTCCAAGGAATTGGGATCATATACAAAACACGTGCTACAGCATCACCAATCATAAACATAAATGTATTAATTTGTAATGATGTATTTAACTCAAGTTTTGATTCATCATAAGGAATACCCAAAAATATACCTGCAAAAACACAGAATGTCCAGAAATAATCTATTGTTACTGAAAGCAACTCTACCCAAATAGTTTTAAGAACTCTAACAAGTTGTTTTCCTATTGTATCATGTTCTTCTTCAGTTGGAAGTTCTGAATTAACTTCTTTAATAGTATTATCTTCAGCAGTATTATTTATTTTTTGTTCTTCTTCTGAAATATCACTTCCAGAATGAGGTGAATGGTCTGCATTTTCTGGTGCTTTACGATCTTGAAGTTCATTTTTGTCATTTTCATCAGAAACAGAGTTAACATTTTCAGCTGCAACGTTGTCTGGTATAGGACCACTTTTGCTTTCATGCATTTCAATTTCTTGTTGTTCAGTTGTACTAGATTTAGCATAACTTTGACGAATAACACGTTTAGTATGAGGGATACAACAATACATAATGTTATAAAGAGGATAGGTAACAACAACTGGAATAACGTTTAAATAAAATGATAAGAAATAATCATTTTTACGATCATTTTTATAAATAGCACCTGATGCAAGACGTAAGCATGAAGAAATAATTCCTCCTGCAGATGAACCAATCAAGAAAATAGCATTGTGTGTTGGTGAAAATAATCCTGCTAATGACATAAATACACTACTATTAACTTGACATGGAGTACCACCAATAATTACAATAATAATCATCACCCAAAAACGAGCTACATCACTCTTAATATAATTTAATACAATTGGTGATAAAACAAATAAAATTAAATAAAGAATGAAAGAGAAGTGGGCTAAAAAATTAAAAGGGAAACGTTTCATAAAAGTAGCCATAAGAACTAACCCAAATGCAATAAAGAAGTTATACCAATTCAAAAAAATTGGATATGTAGACATAAAATCTAAGGAATAATCAAATTCGTCACTAAGTAAATCACCCATATTTACTACAGCATTATAATAAATAAGGAAGTTAAGACCAAAACAAAAGAAACAAATCATAGTAAAAATATTTTGCCATAATGGAATATCAGGGTTCCCAATTTTTATATCCTTAAGTTTCTTAAGACATCCCATAACCTGATTTTCAAACAGAAGTTTTAAGTTTCATATACCCTATTTGAATTTATTTCTTTGCTTCTTAAATTTCTTTCTTAAATACCCTTTCCTCTCGAATTCTTCTGTCTTCTTCTACTCTAATTTAAATTCAGATTTGGAATATCGTAGAAATCGAAAGAACTCATCTCTTATATTATATTTTCATATCGTTAATAATTCTTGATTAAATAAATTCTTAAGTATTTTTATTATCTTATGGCATTAAATTCTCCTAATTTTTCTTATATTATCCCTTTTCTTTTTTTATCTCATTGAAAAACAAAAACTCTCTTTATAATACTTTCAACAAAAAAAAAGTTATTGAGAAGTACTTGAAAGATAACCAAAGAACTAGTCAATCATTTTGATTTTTAATTTAATTTTCTTCCATCAATAAAACACACAGAAAAAATATATTAAACAAATAGCTTTTTAATTTATGATTTATTTGAATGATTTATTTGAAACGTATTTATAAATAGTTGTCTTCGTATTAAGTAAGGATTAATTAATTAAGATAGAGGAATGTTGTTAAAGAGTATTACGATTTATTACATTAACAATTTATCTCTTAAACATATAGTTGTTACTGTTTTAATAAAAAAATACTACTAACTATAAAATAGAAATTAATTCTTAATATTGAAACAATTATTTATTTTCTGACAAATATTAAAAACTTAATTTATTATTTAGAACTATTAAAAAATACAATATCTCGTAGCTAGTTTTACATGTTTTTCGTTGCTAGACTAATTCATCTTATTGATGTATAGTTTTAGTAGGAAATAATAAAAATATTTTTAAAACATGTTATATTATTGTATTGGTTATTAATAAGCAAATAGAAAATAATTAATAATTTTTTAATGAAACATTTCAATTAAAATACATTAAATATAAAATAAAATGCTTTCATAAAATAGTGACGAATATATAAATTTCATATAAATTCCTTTTTTGATAACTAATAAGGCAAGTATATTTATAGTTGTCAACTTTCATAAAAATATAAATATATTTGCTTGAATTTTATTTAACTCTACAACAGTAATCTTCTAATAACACTTTTTATATACTCATCTTTACCCTTTTTTTATATAATAATATTTTCTTGTTTAATACTTTAATTTCTATTTAAACTTTAGACTTTCAGAAATTCTATTTTTTTATTAAATATATTTTCTTTAATATATTATTATTTTT